AGACAAGGGATGCCCGTCTTGGCAGTTGCATGGGAGTACAGACAGCAGGTGAGTTCAGGGTTGGCCCCTTTACATCTTCCAAGGAGCCTAGCAAAACCTGGGGAGTGACCCACGAGATCACCCAAGGGAAACCATTTCCTGCTTCCTGTGGCTGTTGCAAGTCCAGGGTGCCTTATCTGGGTGAGATCATGAGGCCCCCATGAGTGGTCCTGCTGTTGCTGTTAGGCAACAAGACCTGGAGACAGGATACCTGGCCGCCCTGATAGAAACGCCAGGCCCCCGTGAATGAGCACACCCAGCGATAGGATCAGAGAGAACTAGGGAGCCCAGGATTTGGTCAGGTAGCCGTTAGCTCAGGAGCCGCAACCTAACCAGCGAGAGGTCCTGTCCAAGTTCTGGGTTCGGGGATGCCGTTAGGTGAAGGATGTGGTTGCTCAGGGCTGGTGTTGCAAGAGGAGAGTTGGGACAAGGGACTGGGCCATAATTGTCTTGGAGTAAAATGACTCGAGTTGTCAGGACACTTAAACTACAGCTGATTGCAGGCACAGGCAAGGTTTTCCAATGCCCCCAAATATATCCCAGCCTGTGCTCAAGGGGAACATGGATTATTGTTGAGCCAGCTCCTGGGTTAGGGGCAGTACTTTTGCAAGACCCAAAAAGTCTTCCTCTTGAGTTCTGGGTGATCCAGAGAGAAATATACTTTGTCCACATGATCAGATTTTGCTACAGGAGGGCCCGCTTGTTGGTCCCGACTGCCTGGCTAGCTTAGCCCCGAAATAAGCACACAGAAACTGTATTAATTAAATCATTGCTTGTACCATTAGCTCTAGTTTCTTACTAGCTAACTCTTAAATATTAATTTAACCCATTTCTATTCATCTGTGTATCACCACGAGGCTGTGGCCTACCAGCAAAGTCTCAGCACATCTATCTCCAGCAGCGGATCCATAGCGTCTCCTTCTCTGCCTTCCTTCTCCCAGCATTCAGTTCAGTTTTCCCCACCTACCTAAGTTCTGCCCTATCAACAGGCCAAGGCAGTTTTTTTATTCATTAATGGTAATCACAGCACACAGAAGGGACTTCCACATCAATATTGGCTCAGTCACATGTGATGCTGTCTGGTTCCCAGAATTCTCAGGTTAACGTTGAGGGAGCAGTAAAATTTCAGTCACTGGTGATGGGGTGCTGGCATACAAGCAGCATGCTGGGATGCCCCTGACTAGTACTGGAGGCTGCCTTAATGGATGTTCAGGCTGAGCCTCGAACAGATGGGAGGTTAGCCTGGGAGTCGGGGACAGAGCAGAATGCCCCTGGCATTGAGATGAGCTAGCATTAGGGAAAGCCCGGGTCTTAACAGCTCTACCTCACAAAGCTGGTCTCAATGTACTGACTTGTCTTCAGTGCCCAGGGCCACACTTGCCCTGTTCTCTTCTCATGGGATCAGGCTCAGAGGTGAGCAGGAGAGAAGGTCCAGGGTTGACACTCTCAGCGTTTGGTCCTCAGCCTGTGTTTTCTGAGTTGTGTGGCCTTAAGGAAACCATTATCTCCTCTGCCCCTAATCTGGAGTACAGGGACAATCTCCCCTGCCTTGGGAGGAAAGAGCTGTGCCCAGTGAGTGTGACACAGGCGTGTCCCCAGGAAACATCCTGGGAGTTATTATTGGTCGTTGTTTTTTTGAAAACAGGTTTACTAAGAACATTTCAGAAAGGGTTCTGACACTAATAGACTCCTAAAAGATTTACGTACGCCGAGATTTCACAAGAGACCAGCCAGCTGTGTGTTCACAGAAGCACCTGTCAAAGGCGTCAAGACACAGTGGACTCAGCCCTGAGAAAGGCCAGGCTTGGCTGAAACATCTCTGTGCAGACGGCAGCAGCATTCAGTTATGATTTTATCCTTTTAATTTTCTTGTCTTTCACATCTAATTGTCTCATCTTTTAGAGAGCATTTGGCTGTTTAAGAAAGCAGTGATGTCAGATCAGGGACATAACTCCATGGCTGAGTCCTTGTCAGCCCAAGATTCTGGCTTCAACCCCCAGCACTGTAACAGAAAGAACAAAAACAGACAAACAAACAAAACCCACCAAATCAACAGTGTCCTTTAATGAAAACTCATCTGCTTCCCTGTAGATAAGGATAGGGCTGGAGCCATTTGTGAGAAAGGACGGGTGTGAACCAAGTCCAGTTCTCAGACTTAAAACTACCTTCTAAGTGTGTGCCTCCCTAGACACTGGCCTGCAGGCACCAACTCCCCTCACCCCCAGATGCCCCAGCAGAGGACACTACAGCTGGGGCTTCTTGGGACATGTAGAAGGCGTGCCACCCACTTAGCCTGGTGAGGGTGCCTCCATAGACCTGCTACCCTCATTTGCTGTGGATGACTGCCAAAACCTTGCAGGGGAAAGCTACTACATCATCATCAGTAAGGGATGTGGAGACGAAGCTAATTCCTAGGGGTAAGAGTATGGTTACAGCAGGAATATCACCAGGGTACATTTTCTGGAAGTTGGTGCCATCCTATAAAGGAAGGTGAGGTGGGCTTCCTTACCCATCCCTCCCGCCACCTTTAGAGTCTATCAAGTGTGATCAACTTTCTGAGCCTCCAGGCAAAGGCCACTCAGTGGAACTTAGTGAGAAATATACTCTGTCCAAGGTGCCATGGTGGCTACTGAGGCACAAGTCTGAGGCCAACCTGGCCTACACAGTGAGTTTCAGGTCAGCCAAGGCTACAAACATAGCAAGATCCTGTCTCAGAGCCAGGCGTGGGGATGCACACCTTTAATTCTAGTACTTGGGAGGCTGAGGCAAGCAGATCTGTGAGTTCAAGGCCAGCCTGGTCTACAGAGTGAATTCCAGGACAGCCAGGACTACACAGCGAAACCCTGTCTCGGAAGAAGAAAAAACAAACAAACAAGCAAATAAAAAGATCTTGTCTGGGGCTGGGGACAGGTGTGATGATTCCCAGCAGGTACAAGAGCTACTAACCCTGACAACCCAAGCTCCATCCCTGAGACTCGCATAGTAGGAGGGGGGAGCTGATTCCTACAGCTGTCCTTTGGTTTCCACATATGCACCCTTCTCCCCCTACACACACACACACACACACACATGCACACACATGTACGCACATATGCACTCATGCACACAAGCACACACACATGTGTTTGCGCACATATACACACATGCATGCGTGCACACATGGACACATACACATGCATGCTCACTTGTGACCACTAGCTTTTGGCCAGAGACTGAGGGAATATTTCTGTACCCTGATAGGTAGACTAGGGACACTTACACTAACATGTTCTTCTGAAGGGCAGCAGGACACCTTTAGTATAGTTTCTGGCACCTAGAAGTGCTGACAAGTATTGGCTCTCCTGTTCTAGATCTTAGCATGCTATAAGCCGCACAGAATGCTTCACAGCAGGCATGGACATCCAGTACCACATGGAGTACAGCTGGGCACAGATTTTGGACTCAAACAGCCCACTGATCACACCTCCCTAGCCCTGGCTCCAACCATGTCGCAGGCAGAAAATAAAAGGTCATTAGGGTGGCACAGGAAGGGGCTCAAGCACAGGCTGTAGGGAATCCGACTGCTTCAGTCGGAGGAGCAGTACCCATTGCCCCAGTACCCTGAGGACCCCCTCCTCGCCCCCAGGAAGGGGGAGTTACAAGAGAAAGAGCTGGGTCAACACAACTCCAGTATCCTGGGAGCCATGGGATAGCCAGAGTTCAGAAACTCCGTGTTCTCCTACTGTTTGCCATCTGACCCTGAAGGAATGTCACCCAAGTTGTGTGCTACAGAAAAGCCTTTTCCTTCCATCCTCCCTGTCCTGGGGAGGTATTGGAAGCACAGGGTGGGTCTTGCTCTTGATGGGCTGTGCTGGATAAAGAGGGGCCTGTGTGTGTGTTTAGAGAGCATGTGGTACCTTTGAGGACCGCAGCACTGTCCAGATGCCTGTGGGAGCCATGGGAATCAGATGACTGCCACTCCCCCTGGACAGTCCCCTCTCTCATTGCTCTGCTCAGCTACAGGTAGGAAAGGGAAGAAAACCATACTAAGGCACCTGCTTCCCTTCAGAACAGAGGTCAAACCTGCCCTGCCTTGAGGCCCCTGCTCAGCCAGCTGGGAGCCCCACAGGACCTACAATCTCCCCTGCAATCCTGATTCCCCCTCCAGATTCAGCAGAACCACAGTCAGAGCCTCTTCCATCCCTTCTCGACCTCTGACCCCTTAAGGTGAAGCTCATCAGAGTTTAGCACTCATCAGGCCTCTCCCATCTCCTACAAGTCACAAAGGCCAGTGCAGCTCACTGCTGTGCACCTGGCTGACCTCCGCAGATTACCAGCTCCTGGGTGGAGCCTCTGGATGAAGGGAAATCCCTGTCTGAGTCTGAAGTCAACACTTCCCACCTTCCTTCTCCTGCTCTTCTGGTGAATTAGAGTTAGTCAGCCCCTCTCTGCCAAGCCCCACCCACCATGCACCCAGGGTCAGAACTGCCCTGTGAGGGAGGCTGTATAGCTGTTGGCCTTCATCCTTACCCTGGAAATTAGATAGCTACCACTGTGTTCAAGGCAACAGCCCAAGCCACTCATAACCCTAGCCACACTGGATAACTGAGTCTACAGAGTCTTGAGGGGAAAAATGAGGTAGAGGAAGGACATCAGCATCGCAGCAGTCTCCTGGCCCTAGAGTGACATTGATAATGGTCAGAGTATCGTTATCTCAAGACTGGACACCTGGGATTGTCACCCTTCCTATCATTGCACAATGTCACCATATCCAGGTTCCAGGATGCTATAGAATGCTAGGTGCTTGAGGGACAAGAATCAGCCTAATAACTGTTCAGGGCACCTGGGAGACCATGCAGACTGCCCGAGTCCCATGTCTGGTGACTTCAGCCCTTGTTTCCTCGTCTAGAAAACCATTAAAACAGCATCCATAGGTGTTTCCACTAGAGAAAAATAGATTGGTATTCACACAAAAACTCACGTGAATGTGCAACACATTTTTATTAAAGAAGCCAGGAAATAGAGCCATGTCCTTCAGTAGGTAGTTCTCAGCACACTGGGCACCAGCACTCCAGAGCCTAAGCCCTGCACACTCATCCTGGAATGGTGATGAAAGCTGAGCCATCGTCGACTGACCAGCAGGACGCCAGCAGCTGGTCTTAGGAGAACCTCTGTATCTGTCGAGTGATCCAGGGCAGGAAGGACTGCACGCGGGCATAGACCCCAGGGATGTCTCTCAGGGCACAGCCGTAGCCCCAGCTCACCACTCCCACCAAGTTCCAGGAGCCTGCCACCCTGCAGACCAGGGGGCCACCTGAGTCACCCTGGGAGAAAAAGAAGCATTGATGGTTATTGGCTCTGATGTGGGAATGAGGACAGAGATAGGGAGGTGGATGGGACTCACATAGCAGGAGTCTCGGCCCTCGCTGCCTGCACATAACATGTCCTGTAGGATGATTTTCTGACCACGATTGCGGTGGCTGGAGGCATTCTGGTAGAGCTTCTCACAAAGGTCATTGTCCACTATCTTCACCTGCACCTGCTGCAGGCGGTAGGGAGGAGGCAGTGACGCTGCGGAAAAGAGGTGGGACCAGTTGGTGCATAGATCCCCTAGCCGTGCCAGAACCCTACTGCTCCACTTGGGGGTCTAGGGGAGGCCTATCTCCAGCATAGCTCCATCCCTGCCTCAGGCCTCTCCGAGCTTCCGTCTCTCCTTCGTGGAAAAGAATGTGTGGATGCCAGCCCGAAGGGGCCGTGTTCACCCATAACTGCTTGGACACATGGATTCTGTCCGCTTGTCTGTCAAGGGCCAAACAAAAAGATTTGTGTGCTGGCATTTTCTCCAAAATACTTTATTATTAGTTGAAAAATAAGAAGCAATCCTTCCACCTCAGAATCTTGATTTCTGGGCCCAACTGTGTCATCAGCCTCAGATGCAGAGACTCCGACGGATGTCTAGAGTAACTTGGAGGTGTAGTTAGATTAGTCCGTGTTGGTCCGCAACTCTCTCTTTCCTACTCCCAAGGTCTCTGGGTCCTACTCCCAGGACCTTGGTACCACCCACGAGGAATCCTCAGATAGCAAGTTTGTTCCCACAGCTCACATCCTTCCCCAATACTTACCGTACATGCTCACTGTACCCCAGCCAGTCACCCAGCACACATCATTCTGGTTGGTCTCAAGAGACCCAGAGGTCAGTTTGACAGGCTTGGTGTTGGCAGAGGAGTCCAGGGGTTTCTCCAGTCGGAGCAGAGCCACGTCTGAACCCAGGCCAGCATCGACAAAGTCCCGGTGCATAATGACCTGGCTCACTCTCAGCAGCTCCTTGCCCCCATACAGGTAGACATCCCCAGCGTGGATCCGGAAGGATGATGGGTCAGCATCTCTCCTGAGGGCAGAAAGAAGCTGTGATGACATATTCTAGTACGGTGGAGGCACTGGCCCCGCCCTTCCGATTTACTCTTCATCCTACCCAGCACTGGATGACAAAAGAACTCACTTGTGAATACAGTGGGCAGCAGTCAGCACCCACTGTGGGTGAATGATGGAGCCCCCACAGATGTGCACCCAGGAGGCCGTGTAGTAGCTGTATATCCTTAGGCTGACCTGCCAAGGCCACTTCCCCTGTGGGGCACTGTTACCCCCCACGATGCCCACCAGTACATTCTCGGACACAGGTTCTGTAAGCAACAAGTAGAATGTCAGGAGCCCGTATACAACCTACCACCCACACTAGGGTAGAGCAGGTCATGCACCTGTCCTGGGGACAGGGCTTCTTGGAGGCTCTGTAGAATGGAAGGAGTGCTGTGGATGAGGACTCACCTGGGGTTCCAGCAGTGGTACACCCAACAAAGAGGAGGGTCAGACACAGCAGGCTCCACATCTGTAGGGAGAATCACAGGGGCAGGGAGTTGGGGGGACCTGGAAGTAGCCTAGGTCAGGATGGAGAGGATTGAGCATGATTCTGGGCAAGAACAGGAACATGGAGGGGTGTGGAGGGGACTGGGCTTGCCTAGGTTGGGATGGAGAGCATGGAAATCCAAAGTCAGTGGAGGTATCTGGGAAAGGAGAGGATGGTGCCCTTACCATGCCTGGTCTCCACAGCTTCCTCCTGCTTAGGCCTCTCATCCCCTTTATCCTCAAGCCCCAGGAAGTGGGCAGGGGGCTTGGCCCGGCCACTGCTTAGAGGAAGAGCTGGGAGGAAGTGGCATATGACCTCAGGAAGGATGGGAGGGGAGACTTGGAGTCCTTTGCTACTAGGGTTACATGGGTGTCACCACCTGTTTGCAGCAGCATCACCGGGAATGTTGGGAAGAGAGAGAAGTGCCAGATATCCCGGATGCAGCCTGTGTCTGATGGGTGAGACAATCCACCATCCATCTAGTTAACTCTGAGACTCCAGGGGAGCAACTCCCCCACGCTGGGAACACACAGCCATACCCCCAACACATGTCACAAAGAGCTTCAGGCCTAAGGTTCCTCTGCTAAGTGTGCACTGTCCAGCCCCAGACAGTACATCCTGCAGAAATTGCCCAGGGCATCCTGCGAGGGTGTCCTTGTTGCTTCAGTGAGCAACTGAGGTTTAAGAGCCCAGTGCTGGTCAGTGACACCCACAACCCAGGACTGTGGCTGCTGTGACTAACTTTACTGTCAAATCCGAGAACAGATATTGCCTGAAGCCCACAGTGGGCCAAGCCAAGCTCTCCTGTTTGTGGACCAATTAGACAACACTTGTCTGCAGCTCTGGCTACTGGAGTTTTCGGGTGGTTGAAGGGCCGAGTCCCAAGGGATAGGCCATTTGCCTGCCCCACTCCTAACTCTACAATGGAATTTGCCCTTTTAGGACCAAAGGGACACCTAGTTAAACTGATTCTGGAAGCTCTGTGTTCCTGGCAGGAACCCAGAGATCACCTGGATCCCATCCTGAGCCCAACCCTTCACGGCTAGGAGAGTGTGCCCCGAGGAAACATCATCAGCCAGCATCCGTGGGCATTTCTGGTTTGGAGTCTGTGACAACGTCACAGGCACACAGTCGGTAGAAGCCAGTGGTGCTGCCAAATTCAGGGCTCTCCCACTTTACAGTTTACAGTGTCCATTAAAATGACCCCAGTTCTGCCACAGACACAATCTGCCCCACCCATCTTGTGGCCGAAACAAAGATGCCAAAGAATTCTAGACCTCAGCTGAGAATTTGTCAGTAACTGACTCCCATACAGTGTTCCTGCTGTCAGCATAGGAGGATCAGGACACCCATTGTCCCCTCCACAGAGGCTCTCAGAGGCAGCTCGGAGCCAGAGTGGAGACTCACCTTGGTTCCAAAAATACCAAGTCCCCTTATATAAAAACTAGTCACAGGTGTTGTGAGGCTCTCAAGAACGGCAGGTGTGCCCAGAACTGCCCAGGACACACGTTCTTGGGAATTCAGTAGCAGAATTATTTCTCACAAAGAAGCAAGACAGATGATTCCCATACCTCTGAGTAGGAGGAAGGGTTTATATGCTAAACTGGACAAAGGTGACCCACAACTACCTCAAACCTGAACCCTGAACCCTGGCTTTCTCAAACACTATTAGCAAGTCCAACATCAGTAAAAAGACAATATGGGCATCAAAGCCTGACAGGAAATGCTTGGATGGCTATCATAACAACAGCCAGGCCATTGCCACATCCAGTGATAGGATCAGAAACAGCCAGCAACCATTTAGCGGTGGAGTGCATCTGTCAGCACAGAGGCCACAGACTGACCAACAACAGGGTCATGACCAGGTTCTGGTCTCAGGGAAACCGTTAGAAGGATGTGGCTACCCAGGGTTTTGCTGCAAGAAGAGATGTTGGGCAGAAGCTGGGACAGGGGAACAGCACTGGGCACCAGGGTCTCAGAGCAGGGTCTACCCAGGGGTAGTGGAAAGGCAAAATCATGTTTTTCTTGTGTGTCCAGCCCTAGGGACAAGGAGAATGCACTAGTGATAATCTTAGTATTGGGCAAGGTACTTCTGAAAGATGTGAAATGTCAAACTGGAGGATTAGCAGTTAGCTAGATCCCTGATGGAATGACAGGGAGGGGAGCAGCGCTAGGAGTAAGACAGCAAGAAGGCTGCAGAGACAGCTCACCTGTTAAGAGCACTTACCGCTCTTGCAGAGGGCCTGATGTCTGTTCCCAGCTTTCATATGCGCAGCTCAGAACCACCTGTAACTCCAGCTTCTGGGGTTTCCAACCCTTTGGCATCTGTGGGCCTCTGCACATGTATAAATCTATACAGAAACCACGCACACATACACACACACACACACACACACACACACACACACACACACACACCTAAAAATGATAAAAATAAACCTTAAAAGAAGCAAACTTCTAAGATGACAAAAGCCCAACTTCTTAACACCCTCCTGGCCTGAGACAAAAGCCTGGCAGCTTAAAACAAATGCCTTGTGGGGCCTTTTTCTCCCACCAAGAGGGCTCCTGTTCTGATAAGTTGAAGGTCTCTCTGATCGAGACACTGTTAATGAGAATTCTGGAAAAACTGACTGACTGGTTATAGCTACAGTGATGTGGAGAAGTGGGAATATTGCAGCTGCAGAAGCTAGTTAACTTACCTTGGACTAGCTTTAGTCCAGAACAACCTCCTTGTCCACCTGTGTCAGAACTAGCATCCCATGACTAATACGTAAAAAGCATTGGAATCTACTAACTTACGTACCACAAATGTACTTACTTTCTGTCTCCATGTGTTTGCCCTTCTGAGCACACCCTATTGACCAAGTGTTCACTTTGCCTTGTCCAGACTCTTCAGTTGGAGTGGTGATCTTTCTCTGTGACCCAGAACTTCTTTCTTTTTTAAGCAGTTTTGTTTAAAATTGATGTATTTATTGTGTATTCCTGCACACTAGGAGAAGGCATGATGGCTGTGAGCCACCATGTGGGCACTGGGAATCGAACTCAGGACCCTTGGAAGAGCAGCCAGTGCTTTTAACCACTGAACCATCTCTCCAACCCCCAGAACTTATTTCTAACCATGCCCTACTCTTAAATTTTAAAATTTTTGTTTATTTGTTTATTTATTTACTTGGGTTTTCGAAAAAAGGTTTCTCTGGGTAGCAGTTCTGGCTGTCCTGGACTTTCTTCGCAGACCAGGTTAGTCTCCCAGTTGCTGGGATTAAAGGTGTGCACCACCACCGCCCAGCCATTTACTTATATTTTTAAAATGTTATGTATATGGATGATCTGTCTGCATGTATGTGTTAGGTCTCAAACTTGGGACAAATGGCTGAGGTGCCTATTAAACATTTCAAAGTGGACATGGTCACTAGGCTCTCCCTGCATCCCTCAGTTCCTACCTGATACAGGGCCCTCCTGGCTGGCCTACCCCACCCCCTACTCCAAACTTCTTCAGTCCAGGGGCTGGCATGCCCTTTCCCCAACTTCCCTTCCCTGTATAATCCAACTATTTTGGTGACCTGGTCTTTCAGGTCTTTTCTCTGCCCTCTTAGCTGCTGCTCCTAGTCCCTCTCCCTTCTCCCCATCTCCTTGCGTGGCTGGGGTCAGGTCTGCTCTGGGCTTTCCCAGACATCCTTGCCTCTGGCTATGCTCTCCCGCACAGCTACAATAACCTCTCGCCTCCACCATGCCTAGGAGCAGTCATGTCCTTTCCTCTGTATTTCTCTTTCTCATCATCATTGTCTGTGCACCACTTGCATGCCGGATGTCCATGGGAGCCCTAAGAGGGTATAAGATCCCCTAGAACTGAAGCTACAGGCAGTTGTGAACCGCCATGTGGGTGCTAAGAATCAAACCTGTCCTCTGGGGCTGGAGAGATGGTTCAGAGGTTAAGAGCACTGGCTGTTCTTCCAGAGGTCCTGAGTTCAATTCCCAGCAACCACATGGTGGCTCACAACCATCCAGAGATCTGGTGCCCTCTTCTGGCCTGTAAGCATACATGCAGACAGAATATTGTATACAGAATAAATAAATTTAAAAAAAAACAAAAACAAAAACCTGTCCTCTGGAAGAGCAGCTAGTGCTCGGAATCCCTAAGTCAGCTCTTTTTAAGCTGGTAATCACAATTGGAACACCTTTTTAAAACGTTTGAGTGTGTGTGTGAACCTTTAAGGTCATTTTGGGCTACATAATGGCGATTGTTTCTGTGTCTTTTTTAAACCTAAAGTCCAAGGATAAAAAAAAATTAAATTTCAGAAAAAAAAAAGCAAATTTTTCTAGACTTTACCTCTGAGAGGATTGTGTTAGGGAGCCTATCAGAGATGATCAATCAGACACAGTTTATAGACAATTGAAAGTCTTTATTTCAGCCAATTGGGACTACACCTTAGCCATAACCCTGAAACTAAATAACAAGGATAGAATCTGCTCTCATAACTGACTTGCTCACAACTGAAAGTAAGTCAGTTAAAAAAAAAAAGTGTGAAGTCACTCATGGTGGCACACATCTTTTATCCCAGCACTTGGGAGGCAGAGGCAGGTGAATCTCTGCATTTGAGGCCAGTCTGTCTACAGAGTGAGCCCTGTCTCCAAAAAAAAGAAAAAAAAACATTAAATCAATCAATCTAGCACATATCTTCTTCCTTCTGTGTCTCTGTGCTTCTTAAGAAGTCAAATGTGACATGTGAGTTTTAAGAGAGAAACAGTGACTGTGATAAGTTAGTTAATGCATAGACATCACATGGAATTGCTTATGGTTTCAGAACACTGCATTTGAAAAATAAAAGTCCAAGACTCACAGGCAGAACCTCAGCAGGGTGCCTTCATCTTCTTTAATAAATGTCAGAGAGAGCAAGAACCCCCCAGAAGAGCATGGCCTGGGTAGCCTAGTTCAAATCTAATGTTAGCTTGCTTATAAAAACCTGTTTCTGTAAATGTTTTCCCTCTGGCTTGTTCTGTGTAGCTTTAATGGCTGCTCTTTCCAGAGGCTAGCTAGCATTGAAGTTCTGTGACCTGCACTTATTTTAAAATGTAACTGTTGGAAGATACAATGGAGGGAACCTTCATATGGCAATGGATGGAGATAGAGACAGAGACACATATTGGAACACTGGACTTAACTCCCTAGGTCCAAATGAGAAGCAGAGGGAGGGAGATCGTAAGCAAGGAAAGCAAAATCAGAGGGGGCCTTCATCCGACGATGGATGGAGATAGAGACGG